TCAATCGATGGTTTGGGTGCAGTCCTACTCCAAAAATCCATACACGACAACCAGTTTCACCCTGTATTCTACATGTCAAAAAAGACATCAGACCATGAAAGAAAGTACACTAGTTTTGAACTAGAAGTCCTTGCAGTGGTCGAAGATCTTAAAAAGTTTCGCATCTATGTACTATTAACATCATTCAAAATTATTACTGACTGTGACGCCCTCGTCAAAACACTAAGTAAAAAAGAGCTTAACCCCAGGATAGCCAGATGGGCACTTTATCTTCAAGAATTTAATTATACAATAGAACACCATACAGGCTCAAAGATGGCTCATGTGGATGCTCTCAGTCGACCTCCACATTGTATGCTAATCCAAAATAGTGTTCATCTTCAATTTCTCAAAGCACAACAGGCTGATGACCAAATAACAACAATAAAGACGCTTCTAGAAACAACGCCGCATGACAACTATATCGTAAAAAACAAACTTCTTTATAAAACAGTCAATGGCACCAATTTACTAGTGGTACCTGACGAAATGCAGGCTAACACCATTAAAACTGCACATGAACGTGGACATTTTGCTGTTCTACGCACGTAAGATTTAGCTAGCAAAGACTTTTACATCCCACGACTTAAAGACAAAGTTGAAAAATGCATTCAAAACTGTGTTACATGCATTCTCACAAACCGGAAACGTAGAAAACAAGATGGCACGCTTAACCCGATAGAAAAAAACGATTTACCACTCCATACATTTCATGTAGACCATTTGGGTCCCCTAGCGACAACTTCTAAGAAATATAAGCATGTTTTTGCAGTGATTGACGCATTCAGTAAATTTACATGGCCGTATCCCACTAGATCTACGGACGCTGCAGAAGTCATAAATCGATTAGAAAACCAAAGACATGTTTTGCAGTGATTGACGCATTCAGTAAATTTACATGGCTGTATCCCACTAGATCTACGGGCGCTGCAGAAGTCATAAATCGATTAGAAAACCAAAGACATGTCTTCGGAAACCCCGCTAGGATTATAACTGATAAAGGATCCGCATTTACTTCCTCCGCATTTGAAGATTACTGTAAAAAGCAAAACATCCTTCATATCTCCATTACAACTGGTCTCCCAAGATCTAATGGCCAAATTGAAAAACAAAATTCCACCATCATTGCTGTGCTGTCAAAACTTTCTGTCGACGATCCTGAGAAATGGTACTCTCACGTACCCCACCTGCAAGAAATCCTGAACTCAACTTTTCAAAGAAGCATTAAGATGACTCCATTTGAGCTCCTTTTCGGCACCAAGATGAAGTCTTGCCAGGACATTGAGATTGTCGAACTTCTTAACGATGAGATTACAGCTCAATTCCAAGAGAACAACGTGATGCTCTCCGTCAAGATGCCAAAAAGCAAATCTACAAAGTTCAAGATGAGAAAATCGCCGCACGTACAATCTCCGGCGCAGACAAGCTCATAAATATCAACTACATGACCTAGTAGCAATTAAACGCACTCAATTTGGTCCAGGCTTGAAACTTAAGCAAAAATACCTCGGACCATACAAAGTTACAAAAGTCAAGCACAATGACACTTATGACGTAGAAAAGTGTGATTTTGTCGACGGACCATCAAAAACGTCTACTTGTGCAGAATTCATGAAACTCTGGCCAAACCAAACTAACTCTACTTGATTTCTCCATTAAAAACTGTTCACAATTTTTCTTCCTGTGAAAGACTTTCGTTATGGACATTAACAACAGACTTTTTTCTATTTATTTATTTTTGATACCATTTTTATTGAATGACTAACATTTTCTTATTTCATTTTAGTACAAATTTAAGTGTTTAGAAGTAGGAGCATCTTGCTTCAATATGTTCCTGTTCCTTATTCCAGATTCTTATTTTAGCCTTGATCTTATTTGTATCGTTTACATAATTTGTTTTACCCCAGTGGTAATGTATGAAATTTTTTCTATTTATGAAATATTACTTTAAATTTGTTTATTTTTTCAGTATTTTTTGTACTTTTCTTTGATGATATTTTGTGTTGTGTATAATTCTTTCATCTACTGTGTAACTGTGTACATTTTTAATATTTCATTACTATGTATCTGTACCATTTTCTCATTGTATGTAATCAGGCGAGGTCGCCTTCCCGGTCATGATGGCCGATGTAGGGTTGGATATGTGCAATGGACAACCCCTCCCCTATACTTAGGGTGGAGCAGTCCACACTGACGTCACACCCCCGTCAGGAATGTCCGACTAAAAGGACACACGGGAAAATATGTAGACGGACGTTAGGGACGCTAAGCTTTAGACGTAGGAGAAAGACGTTCTCCTTTGCTGTTCAGTATATATAATATAGATATTTCATCTTGTTAAATAAAGCATTCATCCTCCTTAGGTTGTAGTCATTTTCCCATAATATTATATATCGTACTTTCATAACTATTCCAAAATTCCGTAAATTTTGTTGGGTCACTGAACTGTGAGGACTTTGCAGGTTAATCCTGCTTTCATCAGGAATTTTATTCAAAGATTCACTTCTTTCTCCTTTTCCTACAATTGTTCTATTCTTTTGAGCTCGCGGGCTCTATCTCTACCGTGAGGTTGCTGATACGAAACTCCTCGGGTCGAAGTCTGCCTTCGTTCTCGTTAATTCGCGGACTCCCAGGTATCGCTGACTCTGAAGTATATCGCTAGCGAGAGGCCTCTCTAGTAAAAGTCTCTTTTTAAACCCTCTCGCTCTCCCTTTTTAAACCTCTCGTTTCCCATGGTCACTCACCGCTTATCCCTTTTATCTTTTCTGTTGGCCCCTTAGAGCGGGAGGGGGGACTGTAAGGGCGCATAGTGAGAGCCCTGTCCTGCAGACGTGCAGTCGACCCAGATCCGTGAGAAACCGAAAGCACATTGTACCGGCGTCTTTCAATCTCTCGGACTGCCATGGAAAAAAATGGTCAGAATTTTTGACCACCCATTTGCGAAACTTCTTTCCCAGCAATTAGGGAAGCGAACGGATTTGTCCCACGTTCGTCGGCGTCACTTTTTAGCAATTAGGGGAAAGAGACTGGGTACATCACAATGATTAAAACTTAGGTTATATTATTAGGGCAAATGACTCTTCAATTGCAGCTTACAACTGTACAAAACGGTAGCTCACCTTCCACATAAACAAAAGAGCTTCAGGTTACAGAGCAGCACCCTTTATACGACGTTTTTCAATAGCAGCTTTGAGCACCAAACAGGTGACAGTATGATTTAGCTCGTTCCTACCCCAATTTTGAGGGATAACACCCTGGGGGTGGTCAGAGGCCTCCCGCCTCTATTCTTCCCCTCTCCACCAACATCACGAGAGGACTTGCGGCTCAACGGCTATTTAGAATACCCCTATAACGCAAAGGCACTATAAATTTACAAACAGCCATGCCTTCTCCGGGATTCGAACCCAGGCTCTACGGCACAGCAGTCAGCGTCACTATACCAGATGGATGGCAGTATGGTGGATGGGTAACAGTTACAAAGAATTATTGTAACTGTTACCAATAAAGTATGTCCCCAATATTTACAGAAAAAAAGTGTACACAAATTATGTCTAGATGACAAGGTGGAAATTAATGCCTACATTAATACAAAGTTTAAGTATGTATAGAATAAAGATTAGTAAGATTTTCAATTCATGAAAAAGTTCCAAAAGATGTACCCTTTTTGGACAAGACCTACTTAAAATATATTTTTTTAATAATTTTTTATTTGTTCAATACTATAAATTGTTTCAATGGCACACACAAGAGGGGAGGGCGGGTCTGGACCCCCCCTAACCCTTAAATTTATTATTGATAATTATTCTATGTATATAGTGTGTAAAATTTAATTAAATATTGGTTTTTAATAATTAGTTTTATTAATTAATGCTAACTGTTTATTCAATAAATTGTTTTTTACTGTCTTTTATTCCCAACAATCGACAAAATCAAAAGAATATGTTGGGCAACGTATTAGGGTACGATACGAGAATGGTGGACCCCCCTCTTGAAAAATTTGTGTGCGCCACTGAATTGTTTAAATCAAAAGTTGGTGAAGACATCCATTGGACGTTTATTTTGTAATTAAATTTATTTATGAATTAAAAAGAAAGTATCTTTTGCAGACAGAATTTCGTTTTACACATTTATATAAATCCACAAAACCTCCTTGATGTATTTGGATAAAAGCATTCGAAAAACGTTGCAGTATTTTATGCTTTAAATTTTTTCACTAACTCTAATATTTTACTACGCTTAAAACCTCATTACATTACAATAGAAATAAAATAAAATACGGTTTAAAACTTTTTCTAACAAAAAAATATGTTTACTTGAAAAGATATGTACCAGGTGGACAATTTATCAACTGAACTGTACGTAAGTGTGCTCCAGCCCAAATTTCCTGTGAAAGAAACATTTATTTAGTAAATACGTTTAGGGATTAAAATAATACATCATATATTTCAATTTTACAACAAAAAAAAAGAAGAAATTCAATATGAATACAATACAATTTAAATTCATACAACAATTATATACCAGTACAGAAATAACACTAATTATGTGTCAATTATACTGAAGGAAAAAAATAGCGAATAATCTTGACCGTAGCTCAAAATTACGAGGTCCGTCGCCAATGGCCCTGTTGCTTCACATTTCAACGTAAATTGAAAACAAGTAATATAAAAAAAAAAAAATGTAAGTCAATTCCCACATATAGGTCAACAAAGGAAAAATCTTATTTTAGTTACTTTTTATAAAATAGCTACAATTAATATAAATATGTATATACATATTACAGAATCTCAAAATTAAGTGACAAAATAGAAAGCGATTTTCCTAGCAATTTTCATTTTCCTTTCTATATATGGTGCTGGACTATTTTTGCTTGTTTGTTTGTTACTATTCAATTCATAAATTAAATTTCCTTATTCTAATAAAATAGTATAGTAAAAAACAAATCACATTCTCAGAAATTAGGCCATCCAGGTAGAATTCGAAACTACGACCTTTGGATTAGAAGTCCAACGCACTATCAATTGCGCGACAAGAACACAACGAACAATTTTCCTTTCTATATATGCTGTTGGGCTATTACTTTTTTTTGTTACTATTTATTAATTTAATTAATGAATTAATATTTGAAAAAACTGTACTAACATCAAGTAACCACTATCAAGTTTAAAAAAATGTATTTGAACTTGAATGGATGAATAGAAAGTATTTTATTAACGACTGAAAATTTGAGCAAGATATATATATATATATATATATATATATATATATATATATATATATATATATAGGAGAGAGTGAACTAAAAGTAGAAATTGAAAATAAAAAAGGCAACAACCACGTTAACATTCTTATAACAAAAATTCATCTTTCTCTTTTTCTCAATTTCATCACACAGTCATAATTGAATTGTATACAGTTATAATATATATATATATATGTAATAATTTTATAATATTTCTGGAGTGGTAAAAATAATTGTAAGACGTGGCGAGTGGATGTTATTTTCTGTAGCGAGCAAAAGATAGGACGTGGCCGGTGGTGTGATTTTCTATGTTACGTGGAGCGTGGTCGAGTACGGTATTATCCAAGAGGCACTCATGTAAATCGTAATTCCTTTTTATTCACATCTGGAGACACATAAAGATCCAGTAGGGACGGCATTACACATACAAGAAGCAAACATCATAGCACAAACACAAAGATAAGCATAGAACGCGTTGCAGCAGGCTGATTACATGATGAAGGCAGGTAGACAAAAAGAGAGCGATTACACAAGATCTTGGCTTTTATACTGGCAACGTTGGGGTGAGTTTTGGAGCACATAGGACTCTAATCTCCTATCCTGGAATGAAGATGACTGTAACGAGTTATACCATTGTCCATTTTAAAAAGGAATTAAATTATAAAGGAATTTAATATATGAAAAACATTAATAAGGAAAAAATTGACGGGAGAAACATTTAACATTAAGTTTAAAATTAAAATAAAAAGCTCTTTTAAGAGCTCGAAAATCAGTATTGAAGAAGCCCAAAAGTGGGCGGAGTTATACTGGCCAATCGGGGTGCAGCAAGGAACCAAGATCAGAAAGTGCGGGAAAATTATCATAAAGTGGATGCTAGATCTGAAAAATGAAAGGGAGCTTTCCTATTGGCCGAGCCAAGAGTTCGGCTAATAGGGTATATAAGTTTTGAGAAAGTGGGGAGCCAGAGTGCGTTGAATCGCATGGAAAAGATGAAAAAAAGGGTTGAATTTGGAATAGAGTAAATATTAATTAAAATCGGGGTTGACCAAGACATCTCTTGGTCTTCCGACATAGGAAAGTGAGTGATAGGTTGGGATATCTTGGATAGATGGGTTGTCATGCCCGTCTTTTTTACTAAAGAAGTTGGAAGCAAGTTTACGAATCGTTTGTCTAATAGTTGGGATATTACATGCTGCTCTTATGTCAGCATTTCTCATATACCAAAATGGGCATCGAGAATCTGTCTTAGCATAATACTTTGAGAGCTTTCAAGAAGATTGATATTGGTTCTTGCTGCATGAGCCCATACTGGTGAAGCATGTCAGGAAGGGTTTTAAGATCAGTGTAGATAAGCAGTTTATTACGTCTATTTAATTTAGACTTTCGGCAGATAAGGGAATAAAGATCACGCGTAGCATTTTTAAAACTATTTCTAATGTGTGTAATGTGTTGTCGGAAAGTGAGATTTTTATCAATAATAACACCAAGGTATTTGGTGTGCCGAGACCAGGGAGTTTTTTGTTTTGAAGTGTGATTTCAGGGGGCGGAATTTTTTGGGAAAAGAATACTGCTTCAGTTTTTGAGGTATTCAGTGCAATTTTTATACTGGCAGTGGTTATTACGTAATAGTAGTTTTGATTGGATAGAATGAGCGGGACAGGGATTTCGGACTAGCTGATTATGATTAATATTACAAAGTTATTTTTAAACTAAAGAATTAAAATTTGTTTAAATATTAATACAAAGAGTTAAAAAAAAGGATACTAGAGGGAATTATTACATATGTGTGTGTTAAGTATTGGCCGAGTGGTATATTTTGTCGAGTGTTAGTAAGTTTTCATTAAACACATCTTCAGTGGACGTTCATCTTCTTTATTGTGATGCACACATATCAAAAGCTTAGGACAAAATTACGGTATATTTTCACGTTGACGAGACAAACTTACGACGATTATAAAGCAAATTGGACAGAGGAGACAAGCAACAGCAACATCTTGGAGGACACAACACAAAGAGCAGCTATTTACATTCTTACATGATGACGGCAAAGAGGAAGAGAGCAGGATTACACAAGAAGTTTGGTTTTATACCAACAGTGCAAGCGCGTGATGATAACGTAATCGTAGTTCTGATTGGCTAGAATGGGCGGGAAAGGGATTTATGATGCAATAATATTAGTCAATTACGATTAAGATCAGGGTGTTAGTTTCGAACCAAATAATTAAAAGATTACTTCAATATTATTAAAATTTACTTAAAAGGATGCTAGAGGGAATTATTACACACATATATATTGCATTTATTTTTAGGCAGACATTAACTGATCCCCAGTAAATGCTGAGAACTGAACTAAAACTTCAGAAAACTAGAACACAGATGAGTCGAACAATAAAAAATTGTAGTTTCGATAATTCAATCATTAATGAATATTTCCATAAAAACTTGTTTTTTGAAAGTCAATTTTGGATATACAAAGTGCTCATTTAAGGCTCACGTTGACACGCCACCACGAAATTCCGAGCATAATGTTAATCCTGTGGAGTTTCTTATTTTTCTATTTACGTCTAGGGCATTGCTTTTAATTGCATGGAATAAAATGCATCCAAAAGAGGGAGGGGGGAATATTTTTTTCTCATTACTTCGATTTTTTTTAAAAGATTTTTTTTAGTATTTTTAAATATTTATTAAAGATCTGAAAATTCAAATCTAGCACACTAAAACGATCATAAAAATATTTTCAATAATCGGATTAAAAAAAGTAAACACAGGAAAAACCTCCTTTTTTAGACTCTTTCAAATGCATATGCTGCAGGAAAATGATGAAATTAGGGCTTTCATCCAATCCCTAAGGGAGAGGATCAATTCAAGCAAGATGTTAAAATAACGTCTCTTTGAGGTCATTCCCTGATGTAAGTAAGTGATTGGATCAAATCCCCGAACTGTTTTAGTGAAATGAATAAGTCAGCATTTGTAGAGCTGTTTTCACTTGTTACCTCTCCCTTTTACCTCCCCCTCTCTCCTCGTCCGTGCCAGGCAGTGCCGGGATTCTGACGTGACGGACCAAAACAAAATGACCCAATTAACATTTTTTAGTTTTATTTAGTAAAATTCTTTGCATTGTTGTCTTTCGATTGATATATCACTTTTGTATGCCTTAAAATTAGAAACTGGATAAAACTTCAATTGAAAAATGTACACCAACAAATTAGGAAATTCGACCAAGCCCTCTTTATAAATAAAAGCTTTTTGATAATAAAAAAAAGCTATTTTAAAAAGGGAAATAATAATTAAAAAAAGGTGATACAAATAAAGCAGGATATTTCTGAAGTACTACATTCATGTATAATTTTTTTTTAAATGTTTGAAATTCTACTACAAATATCCTTTTAAAAAAAAAATAACAAAATAATTAGATAATAAAGCTGGTAACTAATTTCGAATAAATAATTTGTAATTCAATGATTATTGTTGTATTAATTACTCTACTTTTAATAATGCACCATATTTGCTAAATGAACACTTTTAAACTCGTGACAATATTATTTCATCATTTCTCTGAAACAGGTTAGGGATTTGATCAAATCACTTTCTTTCCTTGGGAAATCACCTTATAGAGTTCTTATTTTAACATCTTGCGCGAATTGATCATCTCCTTTAGAAATTTGATGAAATCAATAATTTAATCATTTCCCTGTGCAACACACATATACTTATAAATTAATTTATTAGCAAGTAATTAGAAATAACAGCATTGCACATTTGGAAAGAGGGGAAAGTAAACATAAAACTCCTCTTTCTTGTGGAAGGATACATGAAATTTTCCCTATGTCTCATTGATGAATGGATGACTCGTTTGGTGAGTTGAGATCGAGAAATGCAGGTTATAAATGTAATTTGGCAGAGTGTTAGAAGGTTATGTAAAAAAAAGATTTACTTAAAATCCCAGTGTTCCATTGAAAAACCTGACTTGTTTCTTACAATCAGATAAATATCAGTGGATATCCCTCCCCCAGTTTTTAAAAAAGCCCTACAATATGTGAGATGGGAAACTATCTTCCATCTCATTTATACTATATCTTAACCAAAAAATATTTATAAAATTACCTAAAAAAATTAAGCTTCATTAATTACTAAACTGAGCGGTGAGTATTATTCGGTTACGTCTTGAATATACTAGCAGGGATATAATGAATAGATTTTTAAATAATTAAATTGCAATTCTTTTAAATTAAATTACAAGGCAAAATGACAACTACAGGAGAGAAATATTGCTCAAAACATTTAAAAGTCAAAAGTCGCAGTTTACTTGATGTTATGAAACTGGTATCGTTAACTATTTTTTGTTTAATTATTTTATACAATTAAATATTATACAATATAACAGTGTACAGTATGATAATGCATGCAATTTGACTGTGCATACTTATAAATAGAATTTATAAACGTTATTCAAAATGTGTAAGTCTCATATCTTAACAAAGAGATTTACTTTTTAAAAATAACAATTATGGAAAAATTGTTGAATATTTTTTGATAAAAATTCATTTACCTATGCAGATTTATTGAAAAACATAAATCCTAAAGGGATTAACAATCTTTTATAGATAGTAATTTTCAAAAAAATAAAGAGTTAAAATTATTTTTTAACTTCACATTAAAAAAAATACATCACTTTTAAACATTAAATATATTTTTCTTAATATTCATCTTTTAAATTTGACATTTCTTTTGTTAAGCTTTTATGTCTTATTTGTTTCTTTTAGGAAAAAAGTTTGCTGACATAATTGTTTTGTA